ACAAGTGAGATGACTGTTGTTGTACAAACTGGAAACAAGTTTTATGTCCATAAATCTCCTGCTTCCACAAGCAATAGACTGTATATTGTGCTAAAGCCTGTATTGATACCTTTTGATCACCCATTCGGTCAAACGGAAAGACCGAGACTGTACGAGAATGTACAAGTGTGTGAACAAGATAAGCGTCTAGAGTGCCGAAATGAGGAGGCGAGCAAGTGGTAGTAGGACGCTGATCTATCTCACAGTTTCATCTATCAGCTAGCAAAACGCGGTATCTACAACTGACATGGTTAAGGTTTACACACACACACTGGTTTCTGGTCAATAGTGAGCTCATTATGAATAACAGCCTTGACAAACATTGAACATCGATGAAATAATTGATTCGAAGACAAGAGAAATGCGCCGTCGCCGGGACTATCTGGAGCTTTTCGCCGTCATCCGGGTCAGTCCGTCCGCCTGCCCCGACTCGGTACATGACAAAGATGTTTCAGTGTAAACAACATCGACGTAAGTGAACCAGGCGGTTGGACTGCTGCAGCTGCAGATTGAAGTGATTTATGTACAGATCCAAGTTAGGGCGACAGCAGAGATGCCTCTTGATTGACGAAATGACTAACCTCGATTAGCGCTCGTCTATAGTTCGTAATTTAAGCATGACTGACCTGGGTACAGCGCGGGCTGTCAACTCGTCCCGAATCAATAGTACTTTCCATTAGTTCTGTTGTCTGGCGATTTGATGAAACAATTATCCGCAAAACGATTGCATGCAAACCAGCTCCTTCTGAAGCATTTACAGTTATACGCATGGTTACATCGAAATTACGTTGGAACATCGCTTGGTCAGTAAATGGGAAGCAAATTGCGACAACCGATAATCTAAAGTAATTTAAAAAGGCATTACACCGTAAATGTCCGACGACGAAGTTATGAAAACAGGCACATCCGCTCTGACTTGATGCTTTGATTAAGAAACATAAATTTTCCATGAAAATGATCCTCAATCAGCAACCTCTTTCACTTCAAACCTATTGACCATGTAAGTCTACGTTCCGAACAGAAAGAGTGAGTTAAAACTAGTCGGGTTACTGTCACTGAGACCAGTTCGACGATCAACTTACCCATCGCGTCATGCACATCGGGAATCAGGGTGACAGCGCAAAACTGTTATATTGATTGTTCGCCATTGATTTAGTGATAACATTAAGGGTGTATTCACACAAAAAACATACAAATCCCCCAACAAGAAATCGCCCTCCTACATAGGGTGATGGTTCGTGCACTTCGGCACGGGATGGTTTTTGTGCAGCTGAAGGATCTATGGCTGAAAAGCCGGAAGCAAGCGATTCGACAAAGACCAGTATTTCAGGTGGAGCGTTTGGATCCATTTGCTATTTCAGACGCTAAAATGAGGGAGGAATAATTGATTCAGATAAATGGGTCTCCACTAGGCCTTTTACTCGTTGCCGATCGAATTAGAACCCTAATCGCCGGAACCCGTATTGGTGACCACCAATGCAGCACCAATAGTCTGTAACGACAGTGGATAAATCCATTTCACTTTTGTTCTGACGTCTGTACCTCAATCAACTCCTCTGTGCGCCAAGTCTTTCAGTCCACAACATCCTCTAAGACAATTTACATGCTAATCGTTGTCTGTATCACAGAATGAAGTAGACATTCGTGTGAAGGTAGGTCCGAAAGATTGTCCGTCGCATACAATACGGTATTTCACAATTGAAATCTGCAGTGCAAAGGAGAGGCAAATGCAGAATCCCAGAAGTACGGGTTTTGTTAAAATACCGGTTCAGGCTACTGAAACCTTCTGTAGTAAATATTCTTTCAAATCCACCTTACAATCATACTCGTAGTTGAGTAAGGGCTTTGGCATATTGAGTACGGCTGTGCACTTTGATGAAAACCGAGTTCGGCTGACATCGACCCCTCCCCCAGCCCATTCATTACCCGGAACATCCGACTGCTCTTCTGACCCAACGGGAGAGGGAAAACAGGGGCAGGAAAGATGAAACGATAATTCTAGACAGCAAAGCATGAAGTATTGGAGGATCGAGAACTCGAAACCGGGCTGTGTCTATGAACGACTTTGATGAAGAAAGAAAGAAAGGAAAGAGCGCCAACGAGCGCAGTTTAAGGTGGTGGTTGGACAACAAATTAGAACAAAACAACAGGGCAGGGAGGATGTTGCGGAAGATGATGAACAATAAGCGACACCAGCTTACACAACACACCTGGTGTGAAGCCTCAAAAACACGCGGAACGTGTGTGCATGTGTACGTACATTTTCGTCTAGCCTCATTCTGATACGCAACACGAACGCGATGGGGTGAGTGAATAAGCAAGGCGAATGGGTGTGTGAGGGACGGGCGTAATCATCGAGAGAGGAATATGCATTGTATGTGCAATTTCGCCATGGTACCGGAGGACGAAGTACTGAACAGAATCATATTTGAAATTCGAAAATGGTAACGGAGAAAAATGGGAGAACCGGATTGGACAACTAGAACTAGAAACATTTAATGATCCGCTCGGAGAACATTTCACTAAGTGCCAGAATGGAAGAGGTCCGAGAGAGAGAGAACGGATGGACTGCAGAAGTTTATACGTCATTCCAATGACCATGCGTTCAGGTAAACATTGGCCACAAATTGGCTAGTTACAATGTGCTCTCGTCAGGATGCTCGCGAGAAGCATGAAAACTATGAGCTTCACGTAGAAACTTATGCGAAATTGTCGAGATCGATATATCGGGAAGAGAGAACATGAAGCGAGTAGCGGTTGTAACAAATGGTTGTCTATTTTCGTTCGATCAAAATGATGATTCTAGTATAATGGCGCCTAAGATCCGAGTAAGACGGAAAAGGGTACACGGAGGATGAAGAGAGAGAAAAAAGCAACAAAACTTGCCCAGAGACTTTGAGCAGCACTCCCGGATTAGGGTGATCGAAGAAGAAGACATGAGCTTAACTACACTTCGCATGTCCTGGAATCCCCGATGAAGTGAAGAAACGAAAGACCGATTTGTAACCAGAATGGACAGGAAACGGCGAATCATGGACTGATGGCAGCACAGTTAGCGGGTGGTATGTGTGTGTGTGTGTGTGCACAGGAAGGCGTGGTTTGCAATCAAAACGGACGCCAGTAGAAGCGAAGTAGAGAGGGTGGAAGTAAACAGTGACAAATAGTGACAAGTAACCAAAGAAATAATTCCATTTGTAAACAGTCCTGAATTGACAAGGACAGATGATCAGGTTGATGTGACGTATACTTTACACACTCCGTCCGCCCCGGCACTGGCTGCTAGTGGTAATCGGGGATGTAGAGCGACAGAATTGACCGCCTCGTTGTGTTTGGCTCTGTGATTTGTGATCTCCTGTACGCATGCACGTGACTCCAGGTCCCATACACGGACAGAAGCATCGTGACCTGTAGACAAAAATTCAGATGCTCTTTAGAATGAAGCGATTGCCAGCATCGCAAACTATGAAGTGCGGTTAGATGTTAGACGAGTGACCGGGAGACAATTGAAGATGGTTCAAATAGATAAGTATTGGACTTAAGTAGGGCCTTTCGGGTCCAGATCCAAATGATGTGAATCGGTGAGTTGACAACTATGAATTTTTCTAACAAGAACAATTTGATGCAACAGTGGAGAAATGGTAACTTGCACTGAGTTCATGAAACCGTTTTAAATGAATCGTTCAACTAATAATACGCCGAGTAGCCAGAGGTTTTATCTACATTCTCGAAGTTAGAAAGATGAAAAATCAGAAACATGTATATGTGATAGAATCCTTACCTCCAGTTATCAAATACAATCCATGAGCATCCACAGCAAGACTGGTAATCGCATCCATATGTGCCACCATTGTTTCGACACAAGGCGAGTGGCCGACCATAGATCGTTCGGAGGACATGCGGCCGATATCGTAGAAACGCAAGCAACTATCTTCGTGCGCACCGACGGCCAGGGACAAAGTTTGATGAGAAACAAGAGCGTTCAAGGCGACTGGACTGAACCAGGGGGGTTCGTCTGCT